ACAAACTAAAACAAAAACAAAACAACAACAACAAAAAAACAACAACCGCCAGACAACAACAAAACAACAACAACAACAACAACAACCACAATAACAACAACAAACTGTCCGTTGTCTACTTTTTTCGTCTGGCTCCAGGCCCGTGTTTACAGCGAGTCCACTCTGATAGTACTTTAAAGTCCATTTACGAAGATCGTAAGCCAAACTCACGCCGTATTAACAACCAGCCCCTTTAAGTACTCACACAAGTTTATGTACCTCTCCCCAAAACATTGTATTTTTCAGCCATGTCTTGCTCCTTTAAACCAGAGTAGAAGCATACATGACAGCGTTAACAGTTATTGTCGTGTGTCTCTCATCCTCAGACCAAGACAGGGGTCTTGAAAAGGCAGGCCGAGTCACTCGCAGTTTCTGGGAGTAAAGGAGTACAGAGGAAGCAACTGTAGAGCAGCCATCTCCAGGCGAAATACGAAACATATTATCATCACCGTGGTCAGTGTACAACGTGATTCGATCAGCCCCTTCGATATTCACAACTGGCTATTTCTTGTAAACACAGGCGGCGAGCAAATAAACTACAAGCAAGACGTTAAGGTTGTTGAGGGAAAGAAGTTATATTGAGGATCATAATAATTCCACAAGAAAGTTACCACTTTTAGACCCTCCACTGCTGTATCTGGAGGTAAAGTGGCGATACGATGTGGTCTGTGACTTTCGTTTCTCGAAACTTCGGAAGGCCAACAGTGAGGACCCAACAGTATGTCCTGCTCCTCCTACTCCTGGTCAACGAATGTACTGGTCATCTTGTGATGACTTACCCTCCGGCAAGGAAGTACCCACTGGACTTTCTGGACAACGTTCGGACCCAACAGCCATGCGGTATGCCTGAAGGTGAGAGGGTTTTCTTCTTGTTGTTTGTCTGTTGGGGAGGAATTCCGTCACGAGCCACCACTATGAAACAACGTAGAATAGAGGGTTAGAGTTAGTGTTAGGATTAGGCTTTGGGGAAGGGGTAGGGGTAAGGGTAGGGGTTAGGGATTGAGCCAGGGTTAGGGTTAGGTCTTTTCTGTATTGTGTTTGTTGGAGTTGCCGCTCGTTACGGATGTCCTTCCGTATGTTGTTTGTTGTTGTTGTTGTTGTTGTTGTTGTTGTTGTTGTTGTTGTTGTTGTTGTTTTTGAAAAGTGTTTAACGGCACTTGCAACTGCAATAGGTCATATTATGATATTATGAGCGCGTGGAACACATTAAACATTTTCAGTTTGGTAGGAATTAATTTGGGATTTTGCCCAGGTCGCTGTCGAAGCTTACTCTTATCGATTTTACGACCATCAAGGGATCTTTAATGTGCGTAACTTGCACGCGGGATCTCCGACATTTTTCGCCCTTTTCTGAGTAGGCAAGGTGTTAGATATTACCAACCCTAAGATCAGAAATATGGCTGAAAGACAGCAGTAAGAAGGAGCCAAGGAGTAGCAGTAGAAAAGCAGCAAAAAGAGTCAGGAGCACGGAAGAGGGGGCAAAAGGGGTTGGGGGAACGGTGCAGAAAGGGGAGACGAAAGTAGATGACAATACACAGTTAGAGAGTAGGAAATGAGGTGAAATTGTACAATTTTAGAGAAGGTAAATTTCCGTCGCTGTCAGGTTTCAAATCCGGGACCTTTTGAACGAGAGGCGAACACCGTACTGCTAAACCACGAGAGCC